CATGGCCTTGTTGTCTACGTACAGAACTAGAGGAGAACAAGGCGGCTCTCCAAGGTCAGTCAGCAGGTAGGTGAGCCAGCGAAGCTCCTGTGCAGCCATGGCCCCTGCGTAGATCTCAGCCTCACAACTGGAGCCGAGAACAGAAGACGAGCGAGTAGCCCGCCACAAAACAGAGCCGGAACCAAGGCTGAAGGTGTAACCCTGTGACGACCGCTGCGTAGCCTGGTCGTCAGCCCAAGAAGCGTCTGCATGCCCAGTGAGGACCACTGGACTCCGCCCTCCAAGCACTAGCCCCATGCCCGTACGAGCAACCTCCATGACTAAGCCAATGCGGCGCTGAGCAACCCCATTCTGCTGCGGAGAGGCCGGAAGCGTGAACGTCAAGGGGATGCCGTGCTCCTCACAGAAGGCTGCCAAGAGGTCGGAGGAAAACTCAGTCCCGACGGAGTGCAAACGCAGGATGGGAAACTCCGTCCCGAACCGCTCGTGGAGCTGGAGACGAGCAGTGCGGATCCAAGGGATCAAAACATCAGGGACCTCACCCTTGGTGCGCAAGGGGAAGACCGTGGTGTAACGCGTGTAGTCGTCGACGACCAGTAGGAAGTACTGCTCGTGGCCCTATCCACGGACGCGAGCTGGGCCCCACGCGTCCAGGTGGAGAGTCTGCAAGGGAGCCTCTGTGGGAGGGAACGAGGAGGAGTGAGGAGCGGCGCGCTTCCGCCCCTCGATACAGGGAGAGACAGGGAGGAGCAGGCGAGGGTGGGAGGGGAGGGAGAAACCTGGGAAGACCAGAGACAAGGACACGGCGGTGCATGCTGCGAAGGCGCTGCACCGAGGGGTGACCAAGGCGGTGGTGCCAAAGGAGGGTCTGGTGCGACAAGGCGCGACACGAGCAGGGGGCTGACAACTGACCTGACGCAGACGCAGACGCAGCTACTTGAGGGGACTCAATGACCAGTGTGTACAGGCCCGACCCCGGCTGCCGAGTGAAGGTAGCCAGGTAACGACCCGTCTGAGCACACGTGCAGTGTGTCACACGCTCGTAGGCAGGGGTGAACTTGTGGACACTCGTGTCCTGGAGCACAGACCCCACCACCAAGTTCGTAGAGAACGAGGGGAGGTAAAGACCCGACAGTGTGCCAGACGAGACAGCAGAACAAGGGAGGACAGTGGAGGAGGTCGCACGGACTGGACCACCAGAGGGGTCTGCCAGGGAGACTGGAACCGGCGGACTGAGCGGTGCGAGGGTGGTGCTGTCGCGAAAGAAGGAGCGAGAAGCACCAGAGTCAAGTGTAAAGGTATAAAAGGCCGCAGCAGGCGCAGTACCAGAGAGAGCAGACTCACCAGCACCTGGAGCAGCACTCTCACCCGTACCTAGAGCAGGAGACACACTAGCCCCTAGAGCAGCAGCCTCACCAGCACCTAGAGCAGCAGGCTTTATACCTGGGTCAGGCGGTACGCACAGGTAACAGGCACGGTCAGCACTAGTAGGCAATGCATACATGGCAGTGAGGATAGCATCATAGTCAAGAACATATATATCTACCCTCTGTCCAAGCAGCTCCACCCAGTTGGGGAGATCAGCCTCGTCACCAAACTCGGTATGCCAGGCGTCGCTCAGACGGTTGAAGCAGCGGGATTGTGTGTGACGAAGAGTCCCGCATGCCTGACCAGTCCGAGCACCAGTGCGAATGACGTACGGGCAGCAAACGGTACTCAGAGACCCTCTACTCTAAGCGTACCACTCACGAAGCTGCTGGGGCGTGAGAGACTCACGCGGACATCGCTGGAGCTGCATCTGGCCACTGCCAGTCGCAGCAGTAGCAGTAGTAGCAGCAGTAGCAGCAGTAACAGCAGTAGCAGCGCGGCCACCCCGACAACCCCAACTAGTGTACCAATCACGAAGCTGCTGGGGCGTGAGGGACTCACGTGGACGTCGCTGGAGCTGCATCTGGCCACCGCCAAGTAGCAGCAGCAATAGCAGTAGTAGTAGCCGCAACGCGTCCAGGGCAGGCGCGGCAGGCAGGCAGGCAAATAGGCAGGCGAGCAGGCAGGCAGGTAGGTAGGCAGGCGAGCAGGCAGGCAGGTAGGCAAGCATGCAGGCAGGCGGCAGCGCTCGAACAAGGCAGGTGCTCACCAGTGGCAAGTAGGGCCAGCGCTCGGCATGGCCGCAACAGCGGCTGTATTTTAGGGCCACAGCAGTTGTAGGGTAGGGTCGCGTCAGCTGTAGGTCGGAGCCGCGTCAGCGTCCAGGCAGGGCCGCGTCGGCGGCAGGGCGCGGCCGCGGCAGTTGCAGGGCTGGGTCGCTCGAGCGGCAGGTCGGGGTCGCGGCAACTGCAGGGCTGGCGGGGCCGCGTCGAAGTCAGGGCGGGGCCGCGTCAGCAGCAGGGCGTGGCCGCGTCGGCGTCTGGTTGGGGCCGCGTCAGCAGCAGAGCGCGGCCTCGGGAGGTTCGGGCCGCGACCTGACGGGGCCGCGACAGCGGCAGGGCGGGGCCGCGACCTGGCGGGGCCGCGACCTGGCTGCGCCGCGACAGCGGCCTGACGGGGCCGCGACAGCGGCAGGGTGGGGGCGCGACTGCGGCAAGGCGGGGCCGCGACCTAACGAGACCGCGACAGCGGCAGGGCGGGGCCGCGACCGTGGCCTGACGGGGCCGCGACTGCGGCAGGGCGGGGCTGCGACCTGACGGGGCCGCGACAGCGGCAGGGCGGGGCCGCGACCGCGGCCTGACAGGGCCGCGACTGCGGCAAGGCGGGGCCGCGATCGCGGCCTGACGGGGCCGCGACTGCGGCAAGGCGGGGCCGCGATCGCGGCCTGACGGGGCCGCGACTGCGGCAAGGCGGGCTGCGACCGCGGCCTGACGGGGCTGCGTCAGCGACCTGGCGGGGCCGCGCTCTTGCCTGCAGAGGCTGCGCGCGGGCGGCGAGGGCCTGCAGGGGCGGCGCGCGGTCGTGCAAAGGCTGCGCGCGGGCGGCGAGGGCCTGCAGGGGCAGCGCGCCGGCCTGACGGGCCTGCAGGGGCGGCTCGCGGGTCTGAGTGACCTGCAGGTGGTAGCTCGGGGGGCTGACGGGCCTGCAGGAGCGGCTCGGGGGCTTGACGGGCCTGTAGAGGCGGCTCGGGGGCCTGACGGGCCTGTAGAGGCGGCTCGGGGGCATGATGGGCCTCCAGGGGCGGCTCGTGGGCCCTACTAGCCTGGAGGGGCGGCGCACTGGCCTAGGGCAGCAGGAGACAGCGCGAAGGCTGCAGGACGGCGTGCGCATCGCAGCACGTCACTAGGCAAGGCAGGCAGGCACAGGACAACACGTGGGGTAGCGCGGTTACCGCAACGGTAGGTGGGCCCGAAGAAAAAAAAAAAAACGGTCCTACGGACCTAGTGCTCTGATGCCATGTTAGAATCTAGCAGTAGGAATGATTGCATTGAGCAGCATGAGGAGTACAAGTAGGAAACCCTGAAGTGTTGTACCCCATATGAGCTACCCCACTACAGCCTACACAGACTATAGCATATGAGTTTGACAAGTACTTCGAATGAAGCCTAGCTAGCCTGTGGATCCGGTCGAGTCACGCGGTTTGGGTGGAAGCGCGGCGAGCAACCAACAGAGAGGCGGGGTGGAAGCTGAGGAGGGAGAAACGCGTGATCATAGCAGCGGCACGCTAGTGTATGAGAGCTTTACATGTAAAGCGGCAGCGAGAAGCTGAAATGTGGCTTGCTTGTTGGGCTTGCCTGATGGAACCCCAACGGTCACTCCTTAGATATTGCACAGGAAACCCGGCCCTGAAATTGCTACCAATTTTGACACGTTGACGGCTTCGGCTCGGCGCGCGAAGGTGGCTGTCAGCAGCAGGTGGAGGATGATTGGTTGTGCTCTCTGAATCTGTCAGCCAATGAAGAACACCTTCGCTGTGAGCTGGATGTGAAGCGAAGTAACAGACTTCGAAAAGAGATAGCGAAGTTTTATTTGGAATCAAGTCATCCGTTCTTACTAATCTAGCTTTTGTGTTCGTATCGAGGTATCCTCTGTATAGAAACGTTCGCCAACCTCCGCTGCCCTTTCCTGCTGCGCCACCTGCGCCAACAACGGCAGTCAAGAAAGTCCTTGACCAGGTTTATTGCACATGTGGCGGGGCGGAGAACAGAAATCGTGAGAGAAGGCGTCACGAGGTTTCACCTGAATTTCTCCTTTTGATTAGTTTCCGTGCCCTGCGGCGATTCATCCGCGGCCTTTGCAGTGTGAGGTTGCAGAATTACGGTTCGATTAGGCTGCCCGGACGATTCGAAAATATCAACATCAAAGTTATTTTTGATGTATCAGAACTCACGGAAAAACGGTTGGAAACTCTACTCCCACACTCCTCCCCTCCCCCTCCACCTTCGTTACATTTCACGCTGGCGCTTGCAGAAAAAAATTCGGCAGGTTGCCCGCTATCGTACCCTCCAAATATGTCACTAACATTGTGGTCACCTTTCCCGCCAGGTAACCCGCCAATTGCGTCCATGTAAATGTCGTCACGCATTCTCCTGGTTTTCCAGAGCGCATATTGAACAGAACACCCCCAAATCATCTCCTGAAACCGATGTGTATCTCTGCGTACCGTTGCTTAAAAGTTCAGCACCATAAAGGTTTGGTTCGTAACCTCCTCATATGCGGCCTCCACCAGATCAGAATATATAGCTATCGACAGGTGATCGAGGTATCAAGTGTTTACTTCGTTAGCTATCTCATCACCCAGCCAACATTCCATTTCATTATTCTCTAGAAATTGACTCACTAGCTAGGGGCTTTGGTCCGCGATGGGGCTCCACCGTTACCTCGGCTTGTCGGTTTTTCTCCTAGTCGTCACAGCATCCTTCGGTGAGTGACAATAGTAGTTCTCACTCGAATTCCATTAATACATCGAATGTCAGTAGATTCCCTTGAATTTATCACTCACCCATGCGTTCAATTCAGCTGTTGCTTTCTCATTTATTCCACGTGATTGTTTTCTTCCATCTGCTGCGCAGCGATCACGACGGCACGCCCTGTGAAGGACGGGAAGGACAAGGGCGGGAAAAAGGGGCCCCCCGACGCGGGCCCGTGCCTGCTGCCCAAGCCGAAAGACGCTGAGGCTCTCGGGAATCTGACGGGTGAGATTTCTCCAGGGAATCTGACGGGTGAGATTCCTCCCGGGAATCTGACAGGTGATAGAATCTCGGGAACGTCTAGACGCTTGGCGGGTGGTGTGGTCTGTCCGTTCGAGGATTTACGCGTTGAGTTGAAACACGCATCGACGAGATTCAAAAGGATTTCACAAACAAAACGCCAGCTTCTCTCCTTTTCTCGCCTCTCCTCACACCTCTACCTTCGCGCGCTCACTGTCCTCTCCGCCCTTCTCCCACACCCTTTCGCTCCCCCGCTCCCCTCCCCTCCACGTGCCCTCCTCTCGGCGTACTCCCTCTCCGCGTCTCCGCGCAGCGATTCTCGCCGCGCGGCTGAACGGATCCGAAATGCTTGGGGCGACGGGCGACGTCAACGCCACTGGGCGAGTCTGCCTCGCCGTCTTCGAGTAAGCCACTTGATCCCACTTGCGTATGGTGCGGCCATCACACCATATGCCATCCGCCTGTGATGCGGCCACTTGTCCCTCTGAGATGCCTTCCGTCTTCAGTCTTCCTCCTGCTGACGAGTCTGCCTCGCCGTCTTCCAGTAAGTCGCTTCATCCATCCGAGTCAGATAAGTCTCGCCACTTGTCTTCCCCTTGCACATGGTGCCTCGCCGTCTTCGAGTAAGCCCAACCGCTCGTGCTCTGTGCGCCCACCTGGACCTCTATGCTGCCTTCCCCCTTCCACCCACCCACACAACGGTCACTTTCCGCTCGTGCTCTGTGCGCCCACCCGGACCTCTGTGCTGCCTTCCCCCTTCCACCCACCCACACAACGGTCACTTTCCGCTCGTGCTCTGTGCGCCCACCCGGACCTCTATGCTGCCTTCCCCCTTCCACCCACCCACACAACGGTCACTTTCCGCTCGTGCTCTGTGCGCCCACCCGGACCTCTGTGCTGCCTTCCCCCTTCCACCCACCCACACAACGGTCACTGTCCGCTCGTGCTCTGTGCGCCCACCCGGACCTCTATGCTGCCTTCCCCCTTCCACCCCCCTGGCCACTTTCCGCTCGTGCTCTGTGCGCCCACCCGGACCTCTATGCTGCCTTCCCCCTTCCACCCCCCTGGCCACTTTCCGCTCGTGCTCTGTGCGCCCACCCGGACCTCTATGTTGCCTTTCCCCTCCCACCCACCCAAACTCAGCGGTCGCTATCCGTTACTCCACTCACATGCGCATTTCCATTCCTCCCTTCTGCTCGCTCGTGTGAACCATGACGGAAACTGTCAGGTTAGACGGCGACTACAACGTTTTCTACAGCGTCGTCACCTCCGCCTCCGACGAAGCCGAGCCGTACGCCCCTTCGATCTATCAAGGCGCGGCGGGAGAGGCGGGAACCGCCGTTCATAATACTGTCGCGGCAGGGGAAACCGCCACGTGGGTAAATCTTACTCGTCCGCCGCCTCCCCCGCCCAAGGGCAAGAAGAACAAGGGCACACCGCCCGCCCCGCCTCCTCCGAAGTACACTTATGCCACTAACGGGACGTGGCTTAAAGCGAGTACATTGTCCACGATCGGCGGGCAGACACTGAAGGAGCTGGTGGATGCGATTATTGCGACGCCGGACGGGTACTACGCGACATTCGCGACTACTGATTTTGAGTCGGGTGCGGCGCGGGGGCAGTTTCAGTCGGACCCGCTTCCGCCACCGCCGAAGGGCAAGAAGAGCGGGAAGGATGGAGGGAAGAAGGGTGGTGGGAAGACTGATGGCGATCGGTTCGGCACTCTTGTGGGTAAGCGCTTAAGAAATGAAGCCTGCTTCGGCTCTCCTGCCTCGCCCATTCCTGCCTCGCCCAGGCAAATCAACCAAGCGCCGTGCTCCCTCTGGCTCTCACGTAGCAGAGGCAGCGCGACTCACAGCTCCAATTGATATTCTCTGCATTTTTTTTCCTTCTCCGTGGTTCCGCGACTTCGTGCAGGTGCGGTCGCAGCGCGGGTCAACGGCTCAAGCGTTGACCTCCAAGCTGACGTCAACGCCACGGGCTGCGTTGACCTCGTCATCTTCTTGTAAGTTCCCCTTCTCACGTCTCTTTTTGAGGCGCCTCATAAATAGACGGGCTGCGTTCACATCGTCATCTTCTTGTAAGCTTAGCCGTCTCTCTTCCCTTTTCTCCCTTCTCCCTTCTCCCTTCTCCCTTCTCCCTTCTCTCGTCTCTCGTCTCTCGACTCGTCTCATTTTCCTCAGTTCTTCAATTCACTTCTGAGTCGACTCAAAAAAACTCCTCAGTTCTTCAATACTTTTCTCCCCTCCGGTCACTCCTTAATCACTCAACCTCACCGTACGTGTAGTAACACCCGTCCCTCCCTGCCCCTCCCTGCCCCTCTCTACCAACACCCTCGGTAGAAACGCCACAACCAACGACTACGACATTTATTACCACGTCCGCGTCAATCTGAACGACTCTGGGGAGCCCACTGGTGTCATCATCAAGAAAGGCGCTGACGTGGCACTCACCGTGACCACCAGCGACGCCAAGTGGACCAATCGCACGCTCTCAGTCGCCGAGCGCGCCAAGCTGGGCAGGAAACTGTCTCCCAAGGGCAGGAAGGGCAAGCAGCCGCCTCCCCCTCCCCCTCCCCTCGGCTACAACTACGAAACCACCGGCACTTGGCTAAGCGTCAGTACCTTGACCGCGGATAACGGGCAGACGTACAAGGAGCTGGCGGATGCCATGCTGACTGCGCCTGACGCTTACTCTGCTCTTGTCTACACCACGACGTACGAGAACGGTGCTGCGAGCGGAGCGTTCGCGAATGTCACCACAGGTGGTGGTGGTCGTGCTGGCAAATTGTCCGTCAAATTGGCCGTTCGGACTTACCTGAGAGGCCATTGAGCGAGGTCTGAGTGTATCCTTACCCTACTCAACCTCATCCAGCACCACCAGACGGGGATCATCTACGTAATGGGAGTAAGGGTTTGGTACCCGTGTGGCCTTTGTACAAAGGCTTGGTTTAAATACTTGTTGTAGACATTGATGGTGCTGGCTTTTTGCCTTATTAGTGCATGTTACGTTACCAATCGATTATCTCACTAACAGCCTCCTTGTAAGGAATTAGAATTTCTTACTGTAGTCACTTCTTAGCGAGAACATTCCGAAGGTTACGCGACAAACCTGTTCGGCCCATTTCGTCGGCCGATTTACCCCCAAATCCTGCTACAATCACATCCATCACCGGGCCAACCTCGCCCAACCTCCCCGCCTTGCAAGGACTCCCCCTATTTAGCTCTCGTGACTTTGTGATTTCAGTCATTCAATAATTCTCATTCTTGTTACCGTAAGCAGGGCCTCAGATTCACTTTTAGGGTCGTCGACCCATCAGGGTACCCCTATGTAGAAACCCTGATTGACAGAGTTCCTAAAAAAAAAGCCTGAAATATCAGTGTTGCCTTTGAAAAAAGGCTGATGCATCAGTGTTCAATAATATAAAAGGCTGTTATTACTAGAAATCTCTATTTTAATTAATAGGTCAGTAGCGGCCTTCCGAAACATTGCTAAGCTAACATGCCTCATGAATCATCACCAGCCGTGCTATCATCACTGCCCTTAGCCTTTGGTTTTTCTCTCTCATCCTCAGCTTGGGACACCAGTACGTGACAGTGCTCTGCTGCAGCACACACCCCGTCTTCACTTCTGCTTGCGACACATACACGTTGAAGCTGCAGGGGCAGGGTTTGGGGGAGGAACCTGATTGACAGGCAGGGTGAGGCAGGGAAAGAGAGAACAGGAGGGAGAGAGGAGGGAAGACTGGCATGGTTGGGGGGGGAACGACCGGGGGAGACAGGGAGTGGACGGAGTGCGGGGTAAAGGGAGCGGGGGAATGGACGGTGGGCGCGCGGGTCATGCGCGGGTCATGCCGTCGCGCAGCACGACGCTATGCGCGCCGCCCGCGACGCAGATGGCCTTTCAACCGCGGTTCGTGCTGGCGACGAGGCAGCCTTCGGTCGTCGCCATTAGCACGAAAAACCACGCGTCGTCGAGTCGTAGCGGGCCTGCGACGCCGACGGGCATCTCGTAGGCCCGCTACGATTCGACGACGCATGCGCTGTGGATCGCGTCGAACGGGAGCGATGTGTTCGGCGAGACTAGAGGAGGTTCGGCGGCGCTCGCGATGGGTTCGATTCCAGACAGCCCGCCGTTTCTGGTGCTGGTGGCGCCATGTAATAGTGCAGACGAGAAAGCACGAGAGGAATCTGGCTGAGAGGGAGGGAGAGAGAAACAGGAGGAAAAGAAACAAGAGAGATTAGATTGGAGGGAACGGGACCATCAGAGCTCGCCAGCACAGTCAACGGTGCAGGAACCCTCGCAGCCCTCCAGCACCACATGGTTGCCACATTCTGATTAGCCAACGCTTATGCTGCAGCGAAACTGCCCAATGGAGTGCTGGCACCGCAGGAATCTGAGATTCCCGGTAATTGCGGGCAAATTCACACGGAACAAGTCAGAATTGCATTCAGTGGTAGTTTCATTACAACGTTGTGGAATCAGTGTACTTGGGAAAAAAAGTCTGAAATTTCAGTGTGGCCTAACAAAAAAGGCTAAAAGATCAGTCCCACAAAAATCCCAACACTGATTTTTCAGTGTAGGTAAAAAAACGACTGCCAAAATCAGGAATTCCAGGGTTTTTTTCCTGATATCTGAGGCCCTGGTCGAGAAGTCACGATCAGGGTACGTGTAGTAACGCGCTGTGCATTATCGAAACTGAACTTTGATGGCGAATCTGTTCTGTGAAAGGGCGAATGTGCAATGTCAGATACATTTTACTGTGATTGGTCAAGACCTTTGTGCTCTGACAGCTCAAATCTGCTGTGTCAGGGCCATTTCGCTGTGATTGGGCAAATTCGTTGCTCCGTACGGCGCGAATTCGCTTTGTCAACGCGAATTTTTAATGACGCTGGTGCTGTGACCAGTCAAGACGGGTTTGACTCACCAGTTTGACCCTCACTAGTGAACCTCGGAGGTGGGTGTATCGAAAGGAAATTTCGAGGAAGCTTCCTCTCGATAAACTTGCATGCAGGGACCACAGAACGCATACTCTGTAGTGACAGACTCCAGAAATGACTAACACTGAGGCCTATTACACTGAATCAGGGGCCATAAAACAATAACTCTGAGGCTCTCGGTGACAAAATTAGAAGAAAGAAAGAGGATTGAACTAGCAGAAATGGGGATACAAATAGCAAACACTAGAAGGGTTGTACTCGCTATAGAGCACCCCACTACAGGCTAGAACATAAGAATAACATTCTGACACACCCCCATAGCCAAAGTGGGGTGTAATCAGCAGAGCAGGCAAAGCAGTACAAGCTCAGGGTGGATCACAATGTCACCACACATTCTGAGCACAAGTTCAAGAAGAAATAGTTTAGAGTTCACAATTATGAGCAAAGCTAGTGGTGGTCACAACGGGCAGGTGAGGAAGAGGAGGGAGAGTGAAAGGAGAGGAGATAGAAGGCGGCGGCTGAAGCTGCAGACACACGGGCAACAGGAGTGGCGAGCACAGTGGCTACCGGACTAAGCGCCCGGACTACAGGAGTAACAGGCCCCGCGGCTCAAGTAGCGGCAGACGGGCAACGGACCCACAGGCGACTGGCTCAGCGACAAGCTCACTGGGCTACCGGGACAGCGCCCCGGACTACAGGTGCTGCTGACGACAAACTGGCAACCTCCGCTCATCCTCCCGCACACAGTCCCACCCCCCCTGATACACACCCACTGCTACACCGCTAGCTCTACTCCCACGCACCCCCCTTAAACCCTAAACCCAGTCTCCCACACATCCACCCCCCTCAGCGACAGCTGCAGCAGTGGGAGACGAAGGAGGAGGAGGAGCAAAGGGAGGAAGGAACACCGGCCACCCCCATACCCGCCACCCCACAGCAAGCGGCCCCCTCAGGTCGCCTCGACAGACGACGGGAAAAGGGGGGGGGGGGGGGAGGGGGTGTGGTGAAAGGGGCCCACCACGGGCCTGGTTGGAGGGCGGGGCCGCGACGAGGGGCGGGGCCGCGACGGTCGGGGCGGGGCCGCGACGTAGGGCGGGGCCGTTTCGAGGGGCGGGGCCGCGACGCAGGGCGGGGCCGCGACGTAGGGCGGGGCCGCGTCTCGGGGCGGGGCCGCGACGGTCGGGGCGGGGCCGCGACGTAGGGCGGGGCCGCTTCGAGGGGCGGGGCCGCGACGCAGGGCGGGGCAGCGTCGAGGGGCGGGGCCGCGACGGTCGGGGCGGGGCCGCGACATAGGGCGGGGCCGCGACGCAGGGCGGGGCCGCGTCGAGGGGCGGGGCCGCGACGGTCGGGGCGGGGCCGCGACGCAGGGCGGGGCCGCGACGTAGGGCAGAAGCCCGCCGCGCGCCTCGGGGCGCACAGCGGGCAAAGAACCGCCGCGCGCCTCGGGGCGCACGGCGGGCAGAAAACCGCCGCGCGCCTCGGGGCGCACGGCGGGAGGAAAAAGTAGCAGCGGAAGCGAGGTGGTAACCCACCCACAGGATCGATCCAAGGGGATCGACCTGCTCTGATAGCATGACAAAATTAGAAGAAAGAAAGAGGATTGAACTAGCAGAAATGGGGATACAAATAGCAAACCCTAGAAGGGTTGTACTCGCTATAGAGCACCCCACTACAGGCTAGAACATAAGAATAACATTCTGACACTCAGTGATGAAAATTTGACTACTCTGGAATTCCATTTTTTCACAAACTCGATGGTCAGACTAATCAGACTATTTACTATGATAGCGTCAGCCCTGGATCGACCGTGGCCTCTCTCCCCCCGGGCAACGGACAGCTGAAGTTGTCGCGACATTGAACGTGAGTTATTTCCGCTGCGTTCCGACAATTTCGGAGTTGATTTTCGTGTGGCAGCTGTCCTGCGTCGGCATCTGCACGAAGATTTCGGAGTCGTCCGGTGCGGCAGTTGGCGTGGTTGTTCATCAACGTGCGCGCAAGATTTTTGAAGGTTTCTTCTGTGAAGAAAAGGGCAGCTCGAAGAACTCGCCAGGCGCAAATGGAGTTTTGCGTCAGAGGATCTCGACGGTTGGGAGAGATAGACGCTCAAGCCGCCCGAATTAAACGGGGGTTGAGTATTGTCAGAATGTAATTGTATACAAAACTATAACTGCCTGTAGTGTAGACCTAGTGTAGTTATATTGCTTTCACGTTAGGTGGTGCACCCTTTTCCTTCATTATATCTTGTACAACTTTCTATAGTGAAACCCTCATTCTCCTTCTCAAACTTGCTCGATACTTTCATTCAACTCGATCTTCTCCTACCTCACTAGCCATGGCTCCTAAGCCTCGCTAGATTCTCAACAAGTATCATCCCGTCCGACCGGAAAGTACGGCGCTTACCGTACTGGCGGGCGAGTCGTCGACGATTTTCGGCAGAAGTGCTTGTGGACAGACGGGAACTTTGGACCCGCCGACACTCACGGGCTGCAACAGACAACGACGTGGCTGAATCGCACTTAGCGGGAGTGGGGCGTATCGAGATTAGGAGTAGAAAGTCTAGTTTGAAGAAAAATGGGGGTTCACTAGAAAGCAGCAGGATACATATAGGAAACCCTAAGGGGTTGTACTCGCTATAGAGTACCCCACTGTAGGCTAGAGAACAATAACATTCTGACACACCCCCATAGCCAAAGTGGGGTGTAATCAGCAGAACAAGCTCAGGGTGGATCACAATGTCACCACACATTCTGAGCACAAGTACAAGAAGCAACAGTTCAAAGTTCACAAATGTAAGCAAAGTTAGAGGCTATCGCAGAGGGCAAGCGAGGAGGAGGAGGCGAGACTGTAAGAGGAGAGGAGATAGGAGGCGACGACTGAAGCTGCAGACACACA